ACCCCCCCCAACTCCACGGGACGGCGGTGATGGCCGAGCCCAGTCTCGCGGTGCGGAGGAAGAGCCGCCCCGGCTCTGTCCGGAAGCGGAGCCGGTCCCCGGTGCAGCCTAGCGCTGTCTGCTCGCCGCTGGCTCGCAAGAGACCGAGCTCCGGTGGCGAGGGGCTCCCGGCGGAGACCCCGGTATGGGGATGGCGGGGTGCGGGCAGGCTCCTAGGGCTGGGTATCGAGGCGGGGGGACTCCTTCTGGGAGGGTGGCTTGGCCCAGACCGAGCCTGCGTGACGCTGATCGGGGAGCGCCTTGCTTTGTATGAGAGGGGATGCGTTTTGGCTTTAACTTCAAAAACGTTTATCACTACTAAGTAGCTATGCAGGCATCATGTCTGCTTGTAAGTTAAGTTTCACTAAGTTAAAGCATGCGCTCCCTTAGAAGTAAAGCTAGGTTTTGCTCACAAACAACATAAGAAAAACACCTAATTTTCTCGTTAAGTTGGGGAGGACTTAAATGGCTTGCATCTAATCTATGTGCTGTACAAGTTATGCTGACTTCTTTGGTGTTACTTTGGAGTATTAATACTCATGTTTTTACAGTGTAGTAATGATAGTGAAGAAGATATGTTTGGCGACTATGACAGCTTTTATGGAAATGATTCTTTGCTAGCTCAAGTTGATGATGTAGAGCACAAATGCCTGCAGGATAAAAATACGGATATTAAAGCAGCTGGAGAAATTATACTTGGGAATCTTCAGTCAGGAATTCATCAGAAAAAACAGGATTATTTTTCTACTTCAGAAAATATGGTTGTCCTTAAAGCTGACAATGAGGATGCTTTCCAAACAAATGAAAATGACCTGTTGGATAACAATCAAGAACTGACTGAATCTATTTTAGATGACTTGCCATCATCACAACTTTTGTATTTTGAGAAAGTGGATAAACTTTCTTCTGATTCTAGAATATCTCCAGTCTCAGAAAGGAGGAATAAATGTGTGAATTCTTCCTCGGACAAAATCAGGAGTCCATCACCTTTTTGTCCTGATGCTGAACATGGGAACAGACCTACTGACTTTTCCTCAGACTCTAAGTGTGATTTATTTAAAACTGAGAGTCTTAAAGATCATCTGAAAAGTGCTATGACTGGAAATGCCAAAGCCCGGACTCTGCAGGTCTCTAAGACCAAGCAGCTTAAAGAAACTGTTTTATCGGATGTTGCTAGGAAAACTATTGAATCTTCTTCAGTTGATATAGGTCCTTTTTATGGATTACCTAGCAAAGTTAAAGATCTATTCAGACAATTTCGAGGGATTGAAACGCTTTATGGTAATGTAGCTAATGGTTTGTTGAAAAAAAAAATTGTTAGTGAAGTGTTGCCTGGATTAGCCATGTAAAAGTATTTAAGTTAAGGTAATATTTAATGTAAACTGTGTTGGAAAGTGATTGTTTGGGGTTTTTTAAGTGGTTATTTTGTTTTTTTAGATGGATGGTAGAGGTTGATAGGGCTTATAGAATACTTCGGAAGGCTTGATGACTGAAAGCTTTTAGCGGTTTATTGAAGAAAAACTCTCAAACACTAGGCTTGAAATATTCTATATGAAACATAGGCATATTGATTAACATGCCCCTGGGGTTGCTAATAATTCTTTCTTAATTTTGCAGAATGGCAGCATGATTGCTTAATGTTAGAATCTCTACAGCAAAGAAAGAATTTAATATACTCATTGCCAACCAGTGGTGGAAAAACACTTGTAGCTGAAATAATAATTCTCCAAGAATTACTTTGTAGGCAGAAGGATGTTCTGATGATCCTGCCATATGTTGCCATTGTCCAAGAAAAGGTCTGGGTACAGTATTTCTGATACTGCTTATCTTTTCTGATATGCCTTGTTACTTGACTGGTTTTAACACTAATTTTAGCAAACTCCATGATTTTCATAAATATGTGGTGGGAAGTGAGTGACTTCTCTCCTAAATGCTGCTCTGAGGGTCAGTAATTTTGTAATAAAACAGACGTAAATTATGAGGTGAAGATGCTGAGTTACAAAGTAAGGCGTGCTGAATTTTTAAATAATAGCTTTTTGCAATGTTATGTGTAGTTCTGCAGTCTTAGAGCTGTACTGCCTGACTTGCTAAAGAAATGGTCTTGAACACGAAATAAAAACTAGTATTTTTTTGGTATAAAGGAAAAGTTAATTTTAGAGAACAGATGTAACCCAAGCTTGATAATATTTGTAAACACTTCAGCTTTGCAGTTGGAAAAGGTAGTCATTGCTAATATGTTTTCACTAATTCAAACAGTTGATTGTGGTGTGGGTTGGTTATATGCATGTTGAGTTCTTGAGGCAGCTCTGAAATCCAAAATGATCATGAGTTTGTTCTCTAATTGATCTTTTTTCGAATAGGTTAGGGGTTTATCGAGTTTTGGGATAGAATTGGGTTTCCTGGTTGAAGAATACGCAGGAAGTAAGGGAAGATTTCCACCAATCAAGAGAAGAATAAAAAAGTCTCTTTATATTGCTACTATAGAAAAAGGACATGCTCTAGTGAATTCCTTAATTGAAACAGAAAGAATTGATGACCTTGGTCTGGTTGTAGTAGATGAGGTATGCTACAGGATTTACTCAGATTTATAATACGCAATTTTTTCTATTTATAATATGCAATTATTAGCAAAGAGCAGTTTTTTGATTACTTGGTTTTGCTTTGAGTGTTTATTATGAAATTATTACTACTTAACTAAGTTTTTTCTGCATTGGTACATAATTCTGTAATATTCAAAGTTATTTTTCTTTAACTGAAACATTTGCTGCTAGATCAGGACAATAGATTCTATATTGAGAGATCTACTGTGTTAGTCGTTGATGGTGAATTACTTAGTAACTACTTGTCAATTAAACATCTCTAATGAATTAGAAAAAGCATAAATCATTTTAACCATATAGAATGTATTTTATGAATCCCAGAACTGAACTCCTAAATATGAAACCATGAGACTTTGTGTCTGGTATTAATGATGACTAAGTAAAACATTAAAAAAAGAAAAATATCAAGTAACATTTGACTGTGAGGATTGCCCCTTATTCTGCTTTTCAGTGGTGTGGCTGAGTTGTGCTACTAAGGGTTGATTGTGGGGTTGAATCACATGTATAACATCTAACAGGGATGTTTAATTCACGGAATGCTTCAGGCTGACTGACCTTACTTGGACACAGTAACTTCTAAACAGAAGACAGCTTAAGAATTAACTTCCACTTTTTCTGGAAGCTGCTGGCTGCTAGAAAATTTTTTATATTAACTTCCACTATAAGTGTTGCTTAAAACACGGTTTCTTTAAAATTGCTTTAGGCTGGTGAATATAAAGATCTCCACACTGACTGTTTTCGGTCAGGAGTTAACTGTGTCAGTTACGGTCTAGTTAAATGGAAGGTAGATCTTGTTATCTGCATTTGCTCTTGGGTCTGTTTTTCCGTGATTCTTAAATATTGTTTCAAAATGTTGTTTCAGTGAGGCTATACTTCTGGAAGGAGCTTAGCAGTCAAAATTTACTGGAGGGATAACATGAGGAAGTCCAGCAAAGACATTCCTGTAATATTTGTTTAGGACTACATAATTTGGGTTTTTTTGTAGAAATACTCTTAACTCAGTAATATTCTTGCATTTTCTTTTTCCCTTCTGTGCACAGTTGCATATGCTTGGTGAGGGAAGTCGTGGAGCAACACTGGAAATCACTCTTGCAAAAATTCTTTACACTAGTAGTAAGTAATGGCTGCGGTTAAGGTTATTAAAATATTGTAGTGATGGCACCTCTAGAGAGAAGTCATACTTTTGCTTTCTGGATTTGTGGTGTTCTGGCCGCTTTTGAAAAACATGGCATGACTCCATGCAGTAACAGTGTTTACTCATTTAAGTGTTAGTTGACCCTGTAATGATGGGCTGGGTGTTTTTGAAGCTTTTTTGATACTACTTCTCTGAGAAATCCTCAGTATTGTCAAATGTCTTCCATTTCTTCGTAGGAGCCCCTTAGCCATTCCAATTAAATGCTTCTATAGAGAAGGATTCCTTTTTTATGTTTACGTCTCAGGTAATATTTCTTAGCTATATCTTCCTTCAAACCTGCTACTTTGGCATTTAAAAAGATTAACGATGAAGAAGCAGGCTTATGAATTAAATACTGAGCAGAAGTGTTAAAAATTATGAACATGGAAATAAATTCATCTCAACTTCTGTTCTACAGAAAACACGCAAATCATTGGAATGAGCGCAACTTTAAATAATGTTGGAGACCTGCAGAAGTTCCTGCAAGCGGAGTACTATACTAATAATTTTAGACCGGTCTGTATACAGGATACCATAAACTAGTAAAGAAGATATTTGACTTTAAAATTATAGCAAATCTGCTTAGGATCATATCGCAGCTTGTGCTTAATTTCACAGTTTAATGTAATATAATGCCTGCTACTGCTTGCAATTGTACCAATACAATAAATAGCTCTATGCACTTGTAAATGCACAAATGCAAGTACCTTTATATTGTTGTGTTAAGCCATTTGTGTCACTTTAACTAAACCAATTTCTGAATTACAGCTATTGGGATAAATCATTACAGTTCATTTGATATAACTAGAATCTGTACTACTGGTGGTTGAATGCTGTCGTGGCAATGGTTTATGAATAGTTCATGGGATAAAACATTTGTCATATTAGTCGTTATAATCAGGCACTTTCTCAAGGCAAATTAAAACAATTAACTTTTAAAAAAATTCTTGATGGGGTGGAGTGTGTGCTCGTGTGCATGCAAGTATGTATATGAAATGTGATGCTTAGAAAAAACCACTAGCTGTACATCAGTTTACTTAATCTTTAAGGACTTGGTAATTGAACTGAAGTTTCTGGCTTATATCTCCCTAGGTAGAATTAAAGGAATATGTAAAGATACGAGACACCATTTACGCAGTTGACAACAAAACAGAAAATGGCTATACTTTTTCACATCTCCTTAACTTCAAGGTAAAATCGAAGTGCTTATAGTTTCTTTGAACTATAGTTATAAAATGTATTATTTTACACTGATTTGTTTACAGAACTTTTACCAAAGAAATTACTTAAAAATGATAGTAATACCTGTGAGAAAGAAAATGGTAGACTTTGGGGAGAAAAAAGGCCTTTAAAATACTGAACGTGTAACTTGATTTTTCACTTTACTGCTCTTTAACGTAGAGGCTTCTTCAGTATTTTGACCTGTGAAGAGGAGTGGGTTTGAGTATTCCAGATATGCACTGTTTTATGGTTTTGGGTAGATTTTCTCAACAGTTGTTCACTCTTAAACGATACTGAAAGAAGACATCTTTTTTTTGTTTTTGTCGGCTTATTACTGCCTTGTAGGGATTCATTTCAACCTTCAAAAAGAAAATGTGTGTTATGGCTGACTGCCTGTAGCACAAGTAACATCGCTATGGTGTCGCTGAAAGACATTGAAGTATTAAGGGGAAAAAGCAAAGCATGCGATTCTTACATCCATGTATCCCTCCGTTCAAGCTAGATGTGTTAATAAACTCTTCAAGTGAGGATTGGGAGAAAAGCTTATCCTACAACTTGCAATTATGTCACATTAAAGCAAATGGGAGTTTTCCAGCGAAGGTTGAGAACCCGTGTTGAATGCTTAGTTTATGACTTAATTTCTAAGTTTAAATGTTTGTCAATCTGTGTTTATGATAGTATTCTAGTAATCTGGAGAAAGCAGATCCTGACCACATCATTGCACTGGTTACTGAAGTTATTCCTAAATATTCCTGCCTGATCTTTTGTCCCACTAAAAAGAACTGTGAAAATGTGGCTTCCATGGTGTGCAAGTACCTCAAGAAGTAAGTTTCTGTCATGATTTTTTAATTATGTATGGAATAATTGGTCAGAACTTAGTATTTATCTTCATTAGTTTGCAAGTGATTTTGCATGGTGATCAGAAGTAAATGTTTTGAATATGGAGTCATGTAAGGTTGCTAACTGCATAAATGATAGCAAACTACTCAAGGCTCATTAAACAAATGTTTTGCAAAAAAAAATCTTGTTTTCTAAACAAACTAGTTGAAAAAATGGTTATTAGAGGACAAATAATAAAGAAAAAAGGAAAAGCATACTAAATTAATCTAACCTTGTGTCCCTTTGGTACTGGTCTCTGTAAGCTTAGAAAACAAACATTTTCTCTATAGCCCGGTGTTTGGTCATGTATCTTACTAGTTGATTGAGTAGCTATGTTCCAGACCTACTTCATGAATGTAAGTTGTAAAATCTAAATCAGGCTTCGTTAATAAAGAAAAGAAAGTAAAACTTCTGTTTGGTTTCATTTAAATGTGATTTGATCAACTCACAATGGTCTAGCAAAGTTAAATTTTATGTAGGAAGAAATTATATTAAAATAAACAAAAACCCTGCCTTGCTATCAAAATTGAAACCATTTTTGATGTACCTATAATCTTCGCTACGAGCTAATACTGGCTGTATTTCCTTTCGTCAATGCACTTCAATGCACCCACACCCAGTCAGTATTTGATCCCTTCTGTACCTGTGCTTACAAACAAGAAGAGTTCTATTGCAACTTAATCATTCTCCTGTTTATTGCTATTTTAAAGTTACTGGAAAGAACTATTTCTCCAACCTAGATGTTAGAGGAATGGATAATGAACAGCAATAGACAGTAAGCATGTTTCTTGATATTTTGTTTTTAAGTAGTTAATGATTGATCGAAGTCTAAAACACTTTTCTTCCTCCAAGAGAATTTAGAGCTCACAGGGAGAAAGAGAAACAAGATCTCATCAAGAACCTGAAGAATATTGGAAATGGAAGCGTCTGTCCTGTTCTGAAGCAAACAATCCCTTTTGGTGTTGCCTATCACCATAGTGGCCTTACAAATGATGAAAGAAAAAGTATAGAGGAAGCATATTCTACAGGTGTCCTGTGTCTACTTGCTTGTACAGCTACTTTAGCTGCTGGAGTCAACCTGCCAGCTAGAAGGTTAGTAACTCAAACATATTTCATTGTTGTATTGATTTTTGCTTTGTAAAAAAATTGCTTTAATAAGTTGGAAATATCAGTGCTATTTAAAGTATGTTTCTGGTTTTAGTAGCAAATTGGAAGCGTAAGGGATTTTGTGTTGAATTCAGGACACAAGACTGCAAAGTTTTTACGGAGGAAATGTGAATCGGTAACGAGTCCCTCAGAATGCATAGCTAAAGAGCACTTAAGGAAATTTTAAGAAATTGAGAAAATGCTTCAGTATTTTAGTAATCTTATCCAGAAGAATAAGGAATTCATGGTGGTTTCTTTAGATACTGTCCTAAGAACAGCGTTTAAATTGTACAATAAGGAGATATAGTTTGAATATGTTTTAACACAAAAATGTGCTACCTTTTCTTATACAAGTGCTGATGATATGCTTGCTGTACTCTTTATGACCAAAGACTGTTTGCTAAGAATCCAGTTTTGTGTGCGTGTATGTTGGAATAACACATCTGAGGGGAGAAAAAAAATTCATAAAGACAAGTATTGTCTTTCTAGCATAACTGATGTATGGTCAGTGTTACTTATGTTTTTTAGTAGGGTTTATTTTATATCTCATTGATTTTTCACTCTTAAACTCAGGCTTTTAAGGCTAATTCCAAAGGTTCTGCAAAACATAATAAACATGGCTTATTATTCAATAAACCTTAAATTGTTAAATGTTTTCCTGGTTGATTTACACATCTGTTCAAACAGGTGCATTTGATTTTTATTAGTTACTAAGCAAGGGGCCTATATAAAGAATGCGTTTGTAAAATTTTATTGCTGCTTTAGTAATTTTAATATAAAACATAACTTACTAAAGACTTTTTTACAGGGTTATTCTCAGAGCTCCTTATGTTGCTAATGATGTCCTGAAGAAGAACCAGTATAAACAAATGATTGGCAGAGCTGGTCGAGCTGGAATTGACAGCGCAGGAGAAAGTATTCTCATAGTGCAAGAAAAAGACAAACACTTGGTAATTTTTACAAAGCTGTTGGTAATTTAAATTGTTGGATTAAGCTGGTGGGATAAATAGGAGGAGCTGAACTGCCTAGATTAATTTTTGTTCACTTAACATTGCAAGTATTTGACTTATGTAATAATACCTGTAAACTACCTTTATGTGGTTTGTTTTCAGATGTGAACTGTAAACTTTAGGTGTCCACACTTACTTTCTTTATAAGCTGAATCATCTGTATCAGTATTTTTAAAAGAGTAAAACTAATGCATAAATATTTTCCTTGAACTAATATATTTCTTGCTCTTTTTAGGTTCAGGATTTAATTAACAGTCCTTTGGAGAATTGCTACAGCAATCTTCTGCTGGAGTTGACCAAGGGAATGCAGAGCCTGTTGTTATCTTTGGTTGGACTGAAGGTATCAGTTAACTCTTCTCTGAGTAACTTAAGTGCTTGGGAACGCAAAGAAAATCTTATCTGTTGATTCTGTAGAAAAAATAGACTTTTTAAACAGATTGGCTTACAAGTTCAGAACAGCTTCTAATCAGATAAGAAGGACAAAGATTTGATTAGTCTTTTTAACTCAGTTATCAAGTAATCATGTAACATGACAATTTCCTTATGTGTAAAAGTCAAAATTTTAACTACCTTATGATACATTACAGTATTAATATGTCAATTTCTGATACTTGATTCAAAATACAAATAGAAACAGTAGAAACAAATTAACATGATGCAGTAGCTAGAATAATAGAACGGATGGAGAGCAGTTCCATCAGATCTATCATAGACTGTCTATCATTCTATTTGTCATGTATAGAAACACATTAACAGGATATCAAACTGCTCTATTCAGTAAATTTTTTCGTGTAGTTTATGAAATGTGTTATGTGAAATGACACCTTTAAACATGCTAATCACTTGCAAAACTGATGCAGATAGCAGTTACCCGTGAGGAAGTCAACAATTTTATGTGCAATACATTGCTGGGTGTTCAGCAGCAGCTGCTGTCTAAAGAGAAAAGCCTCTCAGAGATAATTAAAGATGGGTTAGAAAATCTAATAGAAAAAGGACTCCTAAAAGGAAGAATATCTGAGAAGGACCAAGATTCCAAATGTACACTAACAATCACACTGTTGGGTAAAGCTACATATAAAGGTAAGACTTTTTTGTTCTTATTATAATCTTTATTTCAACAAAACATTTCATCTCAGCCTTATCTCAATTCAACATGTTTTGCCATCTGTAGTCTGAAACTCTAATGAAAAATAAGTTGTAGGGAGACAGTTTTGATTACTAAATGATGTGCTGGACTGAAAATGGGAACGAACAAGTAGTGCGTGACTGAACATGATGGGAATGTAATAACACTGGTCACAATGGGACTAAAACCAGAACTGTACCCCCCAAAAAATGACTTAGATTTGATCTAGTGATTGTAATCACAATGGCTCACGACCTCGTTTTATAATTCATTGTTACGAACAGGAGGATTTCTTGATCTAGAGGGAGGCTTAGGAGGGAAAGGAAGCATATGACATGTAGACCAACTGTAGTAAAGAAGAGACTATATCAGGAAGTTTTGTTTTCCTGTCATAGCATAAAGATACAGGGTATGGAACACAATTGGAATAGGATGAATCTCTGCAAGATTCTTATGAACAATCTACGAGATTGTTCCAGGATTTTATTACAGCCGAGGCAATTCACAACCACTCCAAAACCACGCACAGAACAGACATATATGGAAATAGGTGACTGCCTTTCCTCAGTTCTGTTTCACTGCTCATGTTAGGTTAGAGCAATTAATTCAGGTTAGTTATTTCTCTTCAATTCGCATGGCATAACAAGCTTTTGTGGAAGATAAGGGAAATACTGACTCTATGTTGAAATCTACTATACTTAACTCTGTATGCCTGTTTAAAATTGCAATATATTGTGTGCTTATTTTAGGGTCTATAGACTTGGCATACTGCAATCTTCTTTACAGAGAATTGAAGAAAGGTTTGGAAGGGCTGATTCTTGAGAGCAATCTTCATCTTCTATATCTGGCAACTCCGTATGATATGACTTCTAACTGTAGCCCAGATTGGATGATATACTTGAGACAGGTGAGAATTTACTAGCAAATGTGCATATAGTAATCCTGCTTATTTAATTTTAAGTAAGTTTATACACATAGGAAATATAGATAGTGGGATAACCAGATTTGATGAAAAGTTAAGATATGGTATTTTATTTTCAGTAACAGGCCAGAAGTGCTTTCCTGTATTGCATAAAAACCTAAGTTCTCTTTTGCATCTATAATATTTGACCCTGTTTGGGGGAAACAATGGCATGAAACATCTCTTGAGTTGCCAGTACTCCAAATCCTGATTCTAACCTTGGTGCTAGCCTTGCCATCACCAGAGTCCTGGTTAATCTTAAACAAGACTTTCCTATAAACTGGCAAGTTATATGTAACCACATCATTGTAGTCTTGCAAGAAAACCACTATTAAATTGATCAAGAGCCATATTTACCATCTGATGCTCACTTAATCTCTAGTTTAGGGAGCAAAATCCACTAGAGAATGTTAAGCCTTAATCTTTGTTTGATATCCGAGTCTAATGCTTAACTCCAGCCATGATTGCAACTATTACGCTGTGACCAATACCTTCCTACAGACTACTATGCTTATGTCAGCCTTAGCAGCACAGCCCTTATCCTAGCCTTGCACACTCTGTAAGATCCACCCATAATTCAACTACTCCCTTTTCTGTAGTGTTGTATACTAGGGATAGCACTAAAATCTATCTAATTTTGTTAATGTGGCATTCGAGATGGACAGTTACAGGTGATTCGAACAAGTAGGCAAAGAAGCTGCAGATCTGACTGTCTAGTGACTATAGTACTAGTCTAGTGACTAAATACTATATAGAGATATTGAAAAACATTGTTTCACTTTGAGTAGTAGATTTATGCTTTCTACAATATTAAGAGAATTAAATATCTGAAAATTCTTTATAAAATCTTATTTTAGTTCAACCAGTTAAGTGCAGCAGAGCAAAAAGTAGCGGATATTGTGGGAGTACCTGAAAGCTTTATTACAAAAAAGGCTTCTGGTCAAGCCATCAGAAAGGTAGGCTGGAGATTTCTTATACCTAAGATGACAGTTTAGTCATCTCATTTGATGATTTACAAATTCTAGATTATTTTTCTGCTAGTGTTCTTTATTACTGTTGTACTTACTAAGGTTCTTTTAACCTCATTCGTTGGTTTTCTTAATGTTGTTTAATGACTTTGGGTATAATATAGACATGTTTTAGAGATATGAAGGAGTAGAGATGAAACGAATTTCCTTGTAGCACTAACAGAATATCTTGAATGTGATATTGGCTCTGAATTCTAACTTGCTTTATTCCTAGAATGTGGACAGTGCTGTGGTAAACAGGCTCTACCTGTCGTTTGTCCTTTATACCCTACTGAAAGAGACCAATATATGGAGCGTTTCAGAGAAATTTAATATGTCTCGAGGATATGTGCAAAATCTCCTTAATTCTGCTGCCTCATTTGCCTCCTGTGTTCTCCATTTCTGTGAGGTAGTGTGTTAAATGAATTCCAATAAATTCTTTGGGATTGGTTTTGCAAAATCTGGAGTTTTGTTCTCTTATGTTAGAACTGAACACAGGTGTTGTATTTCACCTGTCCTGTACAAAACTGTGTTTTTTCACCTTTCCTGTTCAAAATTACTTTTGCTGTTCAGAAAAGCATGCTCATACAGTGATATTTCTTATATTAAAAGTAAGCTTTATGCGCTGAGAATGTGAAAATATACAAACGGTACAGGACATTGATCAGTGTCAGCGCTGTTGGTGAAATAATTGACAGTTTTACCTTTCTCTTGGAAATAAGGCCATCTGGTTGTGGAATGTCATCTCAGGAAAACAGCTGACTTGGCTTGTTCTCTTTTTTTTCCTCTGTTGAAATAATGCATTGCTTATCCTTCAGAACTGCCCTAACTTTGGGATGGTCAGCTGAAGAGTGCTGAATACAATTCTGGAACTAGCTGAAAGGATAACTAGAAATAATAGTGCTTCCCATATCTAAAAGCCAAATATATGCTTGTTGCCATAGCAGAGCTGTCAGTCATACCCCCCAATACAGAACTTAGGATCTGATTTTTAGTGATCTGTTTCTGCAGGAATTGGAAGAATTCTGGGTTTATAAAGCCTTGCTGACAGAACTTACCAAGCAGTTGACATACTGTGTTAAGAGAGAACTCATCCCTCTGATGGAGGTAGCAGGGGTTCTAGAGGTTAGTAAACCTGGCTTTGGGAGATTTTTCAATGTAAACTTACATGCTAAATGTTACTGTGCCTTTCAAGTGTATCTGGAAGACCAATAGTTTTTTATTGAGAATTTGGCATAGTGCAGATGTCCTACAACAGTCCTGGAGGTTGGGGAAAAAGCAGTCTGTTGAGGAAATGTGAGCTGGAGCCAATAATGTTTTTCTTCTGGCTGCTACCACAGCAACAGTGAAAATGCTGTATTTGGACAATAATTTAGCTGTATACTCAGTTGGAAAACACAGTCCAGGTTTCTTTTGTGGTAAGGATTCTTCAGTTCATGAGAGTAAAGAGAATAAGAATTTACATGTTTAGTTAAGTTAGAAGATTCTCACAAATATGTGAAGTCCTATTGGGAACTTGGGCTTTTACAATCACTTGCAGTGCTGTATGTATTTTAAATAAGAAACTTAACTGGTCTCTGAATCGAAGACTCCCATTAAAGTAGAAAATCTTTTTGGGCTTCAGTGCAAGGTTATAAGTAATCACTGGACCTCTTTGCCAAATGATCCAACTTGCCTGTCCAGCCTATTGTAGAATCAGCTTGTCAGCAAACCATTGAATTTAGTGGCAGTAAGGTTTTATTCTGAGAAGCTAAACAATGATGAAGAGTCTAATGGGTTTTTTTGTATATATCTGAATATTATCTGAATATATTTTCTCAATTGGATGCAAAAGGTAAGTAGTCTTTTTTTCACAGCTCACTCCCTATGGGAGCATTTCTGTATAAGGGCAGAAACAGCCTGGACAGCATGATTCTGCTGAAGTTGTATTTTAAAGATCACTCTTCAAAATTATTGCTATAACGAAGGTACTTCTGGACTGGAGTTAAAACTGTATCAACAGCTGATATTCGTAGCAGGTAGACTGTCATTTTGAACAGATGTGATTTGCTTAGATTTCTGTGGAGGAAATGATAAAATCAATCTTAAGGTTACTGTAGCGAAAGAAAATGGTTTTGTGCTCATTTACTTGCACACCTTTCAAAGAGCAATCTAAAACCTTTTCATGAGATTTAAGTCATTAGTGGGGAAACATTCTGCATCATCGGTCATACTGTGCATATAACAGCCAAATAGAGCACAGAAAATATTTGCTGGCAATTAGTGGTTATTTTTGGTGAAATTAATGACACCTACTTCATATCAATGAACATGCGTAGTCCTCAGTTACCATGGAGGAAGATAATATATTGTAAGCTGTTACCTGTTGGATGCTAAAAAACCCCACATATGCCATCAAATAAATGTCTTCCTATTTCTTGTTGTCTTTAAAAGAGGCAAGGGGAAGAAAACAAAAGGTAATTGAGCAAATGTTTGGAGGTTTAACACTTGTTCATTGAATGGGTGTTATTTCATAACTCAGGATACAAAAGCCTTGGGTATAGTAAATTACTCTGCTACTAGTGTAGAAATGCATTTTAATTTAAACTTTGTAAAGTTCTAGCAGTATTTGTTTTGCAAAAGAAATGTTTTCCCGGAGACCCTCTGTTAAGCACATACTGCTTGGCTACCTTACATAGCAACAAGATCAAACCAAGTTCAGAGAAGCAGATAATGCACACTCCCTTACACTGGTGATAATCAAATTCCAGAGAATATCTCCTGTATATATGAGCTCACAGCCATGACTTTGCACAGAACTACAGAAATTAAAAAGATACTGTGATACTAAAGGAAAAATTATAAGCTTGAAACAGGAAAGTATAGTCTTTTCTGGAATTTTGTGAAAGCTCTGTTCTATGAAAATTCTGCAAAAAAAAAAAATCTGGATAAAAATCAGCCCTCCTTTCACTTAGACACCTCCAAAGAATGTGAGACAGTCATTCCTGTCAATGACAGTGAATGCAGAAAATATGGTAACAAAAGAGGATGGCAGAGTCAGCATCATCTAGGCTCAAAGAAAATAAAGACAAATGGGTTCCTAAGAGCTGGATAAGATTGTATGAGGAGGTAAATCTTAGCAGTAATGACGTATTTTTGGGAAGTAAAGATTCTCAGTGAGTATTCATGTTCTTGGAAAGATAAATCAAAGAGAATTGGATTGATATGCAAAGATGAAATGTTTGAGGTTGGTGCGGAGATTGGCATTTAATGGTAATTCTTATTGCCTGTTCTAATAATCTAACACGATTTTGGACTTGCAGGCTAGAGCAAAACAGCTTTATAATGCAGGATACAAAACTTTAGCACACTTGGCTAATGCAAATCCAGAAACTCTGGTCAAGATGATTGAGCACTTGTCACCACGTCAAGCCAAACAAATTGTTTCATCTGCAAAGGTAAGTTAGAAACAAAGTTACAAAAACCTGCTTCAGAACTTCAGTATGTCAAAAGTGTATGTTTGAATGACATTAAAAATGAAGGATTCAGTTTACTAGTCAAGGCATTAGTTGATATTTGTGATCCAAATACTGATCTGTATTAAGAATATATTGAAGTATTCGTAATATCATTTATCTAAGATGGTTAAGAGTAATGAATTGAGCAGTTGCTTACCTTCATGCTCCTGAATGATAGGAAAATTTAAACTTTTCTTAAAACAATTTGTTATATACAGGATAGGGGAAAGTTGTGCTGTTTTTCAGAGGAGAAGCAAAGGGCAAAAATGTTTGACGGCTTGTCTGATGAAATGCGGGAATTAAATGACTACCTTGATCTCCCTGCTGAGTTATAACTGAAAATGCTCAATTCTGCCAATACCTCAGGACTTACCTTACAGAAATTCTAGTGGTAGTTGTGATAAAAGAACAGGATTTTCAGACTGTAGAAATGGAAACCAACAAGGTATAGGGTTAACCTTGCCTATTTAGGTTGCTTTTGTCATGCCCTGTTATTCTTTCCTTTCTAATTGTTTTCCATTTTAAATATGCATCATGAGAAGGGCCATCATTTAATATCTGCCTCTAAGGCACACTTAGTGCCTTAGGCACACATAAATAATCCAAGGGAAAGGATCTGTAACAAACATTGAGTTGTGCCTAAACAAAAAATACAGGAAGTATTTTATTTATTAAGTGGTAGTGTTTTCTCTTCTCAGTCTCCATTAATCATCTGCTGTTGCAATGGCATCGGCTTCATGTTTGATTCTGCTAAAATAGCAAGCTTTCGGTAAAGTAAGGGAATGCCTAGAATAAATGAATGAGTGGTTGGTGTAAAAATGATGCAATCAATAGCAAAGTCTTGGTTTGTATATTCTCACAGTGTAAAAGTACTAACTTCGGGGTTTATGCGCTTAAGAAATCATCATGGCCATTTAATGTTGTTGTAGGCTCCTTACTGCTTTTTTTGCTGCTGTGTGAGCCAAAAGAAGGGGATATATGCAGATTCTTCATCTACATCAGTGTCAAATCCAGCAATCTAGCCTACTCTCATGCTCAGATTTTAAATTGGTGGAGTTTTATCTAACTGGGAAGTTAGAAGAGTGATTACGTGTGTTATGCTATACATGCTACTGGGGGACTCTTATACTCCAACTGCCAGCAACAAACAGTTTAGGGCAGTAGATTAAACAGTTGATAATATCAGGGGTCCTATATGTCTGATGTAAAATGCTGTAGTAAGAAATTTTGTATAAAGCAAGAAATTGGCAGGCACAACTTACAAATGTTTATTCTGACATGGAAACTAAATGTTTAAGGTTAAAAATGCCCTTGTTAACAGTTCTAGACAAAACTGTTCATGTTCTGTTAAATTTTGTGTATTATGTGATGGCAGAACTGAGAAAACCAGCTGTGTACTGTATGAATTTTTGTGTTAGTGTTTTTCATAAGGGTATACACTAAACAGTAAAAAATGTTGGTAGTAGTACTTGTGAAAATGTTAGTCCTTTGAGACAAAGGTACTGCAGTCCTGTGAGCAGCAGCAGCAGTTTTTTACAGAACACGTGCAAGCTTGGAAAGAAACATTGGTGTTTTAACCTGTCTAACAGTTACAGCTAATGCTTGTATTCATTTTCTGATTTTTTTTCCATTATAGATGCTGCTGAGTGAAAAAGCTGAGGCTTTACAAGAAGAAGTTGAAGAACTCTTAAAGGTGCCTACAAATATCCCAGGGACCTACTGACCAACTGTCATGAAGAAAAATCATGAATCTAAAAATTGGGATTTTTAAAATTTTTAACTTTCCTGTGTAAAGCTGCTGTAATTATAATAAATATTTCATGTCTTTTGTATACCTCAATTTTGTGTGAGTTCTGAGTCCAGAATGTTTCTTGGAAAGTTGACTTCATTTGAAGATTTTGATTGTGAATGTCTTGAGCAATAGGCTAGAATCAAAAAATGTGATCTTAATTCATTCCTGTTTTTAGACATAGCCCTAGGAGTGCTTTGGGGACTGGACTAACTGCCTGGTGTGTACTTCTGCCTAGAGCTTAGGTTCATAGCTGACTTAAATAATGCCTTTACATTGGATATTCCCTTTAGGACACATGTGCTTGAGCGAGCTACTCCAAAATTCCTGCTTGCAGGAATCTCTACTAATTAGTGTAGCTAATGGAAGGAGAGAAATAGAGTTGCAGTTCATAACAAAGAAGTTGTCCCAGAGTTGTGTAAGAAATTGTAAATGATGCCTAGTTTAAGCCATGTTAAAAGATGCAAATATCAAATTCACATTCAGCCTCTGGCAATTCCTGAGAGAGAATTCTTTCAGGATGTCTCTGTAGCAGTCTTCCAAACAGAAAGTTTAAATTTTCTTGGAATGTTTTTAAATTTCTTGATTAAATGTGAAGACTAATAAAGACAAAGGCTTGAAGAACTGATTCTTGAGAAGCCATATCAAGTTCTGAGACTCCATGGGCATGTGTCAATCACACTAGTTAGGATTTTTAAAGGTATCTGAGCCAGATTTGCTGGTTCAACAAGTTAGGCTTCATGAAAGTAGTTTTGAAGATGCCTGAAACTTCTTCAGTTGTGATACAGTAAACTCCTTTTCAAAGCTGGTATGTGGTACATGACAATGTTAGAGCACTGCACATTAAGAAAGACTTGAAAGCTGTAACAGACTGCTGGGTTAAATCATGGTAGCCAGTATACTGACACAAATACGGCATTTCTATGTAAAATTAGGTGTCCCTTCTCAGTAAAGGAAAAGTAAGATAAACCTTAGTTAAGCTTTTTTTATTCAGCTTAGGTTAATTGTGTTGGGATTCTAGAGATAAACAGGAATGTTTTTAAATCCAATGGGGTCATTAGAGGTTGAACGTTTGACTGAAAGCGGTTATGGTGAAAAACTGGTGAAAAGGCTAGTATTTTACTGCTAATTTTGTTGTTGCATTAGAGAAATCACAGGTAGCAATTGAATTCTTTATAAACCTTCATTTAGCAGAAGCATGCATCTAAGACCATAATTATGATTCTTCATAGTGGCTTACAAAGTTTGGATAAGTGAAATATTTGAGTGCATTCAGTATAAAACCAGGTCAAGAATTTAAAAACAGCACTTTTTGGAGGCAGCGTGATTCATTTCCACTGCTAGATGGGAACCCTGTTACTGATACTTAGGTGCCTAAAGCACAAATGCTTTTGGAAACATGAGCACATCTTAAGTTGGCTCTAACAATAAGGTATAATTGGTCCTCAGGGGCAGAAGCAATATTTGCTATGACTTGAGGTATCTGTCTCTTAATGCCTTGCCCTTTTGATATATATTTTTGATCAAATGATAGATAATACGAAATTCTCTATTGGTTTATTTGCATTATCTTGAAGAGGTGTGAGTACATATCTAAGCAGTTGATGTAGCATGCATGTTGGAAAATTTTAGTGATGTCTGTAAGGCCTAACTGGTTGCTCCAAAGGTTTATTGGTGGTTGATGGCATTCCTCCAAAGTCTGAAACAGTCTTGCATGGATTTTGGGGAAAAAAACCAGGGCAAATTACTGTAAAATTATTCACTCCGGTACTGAGTTACTGCAATAACTGATGTTGTGGAAATAATCCATTAATTGCTACATTAACTACAGGAGTCGTTAATGAGCCATTAACCTCTGTCACAATACTATCCATGATATTTGTACTTGCATGCTAATAAAAAAAAGTGTACATTTTTATTTTTAATATTGTGGAGGGGAACAGCAGGAAAAAATTATTTCTGGTAGCTGTCCATTGTTGAGTCACTAACTGCCCATCCTCACACTTGTACATCACTGTAACAACCAGCACTGTTGCAAGATCAGGTTTTGATAAGATGCATGTTTAGGAATGAAGTCAAGTATTCCCTACAAATGCTAAAGCCCCTTTGAAAATGGTAGCAAAAGCTGGTTTGAAACAAGCAGGTGGTTTCAGGTCTGCATGAAGCTGGTCTGGAAAGAAAATGAGGTTGACATTTGTCGTCTCTGCTGCTCAGTTTACAGAGACTGTGCTTTGCCAGATGGATGAGTGCAACTCCCCCAAGGCTTTCTCTGTGACCTTTGATAACACCAGAAGTTAAATGAATGAAAGTGCAGTGATTTGCACTAAAACTTTGCTATATGTAGCTTGTCTTATTTTTCTGAAATCAAACTTATCAAGCAAGGCAGTACACATTTTTCATATTGCTTTTTCTTTCTACAGTATGTATTCATGTATGATTAAATACTTTTCACAGAAAGCTTTGTTACCCTGGCTTTTCCCCTGGGTGGAGGTGGGAGAGGGGAAAAAAGTACACAACAGATGCTGGTCACAGTATTTTTTGCTGCTGGATGATGCTGGCGTACTTCAGTGTCGAGTACAATACAGGCCTCATAAAATGCAGTATAATGTGCAGGTGTCAGAATGGGTATACTAGTTTGGTGAATCTTGCAGGTGGTTGTGCTATGGAAAAGCTTGTGCCTAAGGTTGGGGTCAGGACGTTTTGGAAGGCAAAGATTTCTCACTTGCTTCAATGGGATGTTTATATCCTAAAGCCTCTGTTAAAGGGAAAGAAGCAACAGTGATTAGCTTATCTATGTGAAGTAATGATAGATGCTTCAAAGCTAATGTAGGTCGTAAAAATATGCTCTATAGGATGTTCCTGCCACTTTCTTCATAACCCACAGTAAATTGGATTAGAGCTATGGTGTGTGTAAGTCTCTTCAGGTTGCAACTAATGCAGAGTAAGTGTTCTGACCAAAAACCTCGGAGCATATTTCTTGGTCTTTATGCCTATTCACTCCACTTTCCAACTTGCCCGCATAGACCTGTTCTTGTGTCTGTGTGGTTCCCTTCCCTTCCTTCCCCCGAGTCCATAATTCTGTACTTTCAGGAATCCCTGTACATAACTTACTGAAAACCGTCGTAAGAGGGTCAGGCTTACGTTAACGTTTAGCTGTTAATTTTCATTGTGTGAACGAGACCTATTGTCTTCCTGTATTCTGGAAAGCTGCTTCCATGTGAGCTAGTCCTGCCTAGGCAGCTCCCACTTTGTCCTTCTTTTTAAAGCTTCATTTCGCCTCTTTCAACATGGTGGACCAGCACTGAGTATCGGTTGTAATGAGAGCCAAATATTATCACTTAAAAGCTTTGTTTTGATTAGAAGGGAGGCTGAGTGATTTCGCGGTGCTCTGGTGTGCTGGAGCTCAGCAGCTCCTGTGGTATCTGAATTTGTCAGCTGCAGACTCAGTGGAAACAAAGTCTTTTAGCAATATCTATAAAGCTGTGTGCACTTCAAAGAGAATTGCTACAAACTAGACCCAAAGTGTCATTTCCATCTCTGAATAAACAAAGCGTGTGCAATCTGAGAGTCTCATAACCAGCTGGGTTCAGAAATAAAACCAGCTGGGAGTGCAGAGACCTGTGAGCTGTGTCAGGACAAGGTCTGGATGGGGGTTTGGGGGCAGGGAGTAAGGATAGCTTGCAAAAACACCTTGATAGACATCTCTGTTTTTATAGTTTCCAGGCTTTCGTGGCATCAGCTTAGTTTTAGTTTCATCTTCCTGAGGCTTCTTATATAGAAGCATAGATTAAGTGCAACTCTGACACAGGTCAGCTCTGTTCATCTGCCCAAACACTGCTATGTCACAAGAATTGTTTGCCTTTTGTACAGACAACTCTTCCCTTTTGAATTCCCTTAATATGCACAGGTAAAGCACTGAGATAGATATAGATCTATATAGCATTGACCATTTGAAACACGTACCT